TCCCACATGCCGCAGAGCGGCATGTGGGATCTTCCCTGGTGGCGCAGTGGTTGAGAGTCCGCCTGCCGATGCAGGGGACATGGGTTCATGCCCCAGTCCAGGAAGATCCCACATGCCGCAGAGCGGCTGGGCCCGTGAGCCGTGGCCGCTGAGCCTGCGCGTCCGGAGCCTGTGCTCTGCAACGGGAGAGGCTGCAACAGTGAGAGGCCCGCGTAACGCAAAAAAAAAACAAAAAACCTGCCCTCCTCAAAAAGATACTCGCCATCATTAGAGATTTCTGTCTTCTCTCTGCTCTCATCCACATTTACCCACCTGTGTCCCAGTCCCTCAGGGCTCTTGTATTTAAGTTACTAACAAGTTAAAGCAGAGTTCCACGAAGCATGTGTAAAAATTTAAGTTCCAAGGAATACTGATGGCTGTTTTGCTCTCACACAGAGAGACAGACAGCATACATTCATAGGCACAAAATGGGAGGGGGCTTCTGGGGTCAAATAAATCTGGGTAATCCTGGGTAAACAAACCACTGTCTCTTCTGTGGGACTTTTCAGAGCATTTGCTATGTTCTGCGTGTCCAAGACAGGGGTGCAGGATGCAGCTGTTTCATCCTGGGGTTCCCCCAGCCCGTAGCAGACAGGCCACTTGGGAAAGACCTCTGAGCCGGTCCTCCTTTCCCTTCCCTGCATTAGAGTTTGGGCTCATACCATGCAGGACCCTGCAGGCCACTAGATGGGGTTGTTTCTCTGTAGCAGCTGAAGCTGCTCTACACTCACTACCGACACCAAAAGCTAATGGCTTAGGTCACACATTTGTCAGGGATGCGCAGTCCTCAGAGATGTGAACCTGCCTGGTCCATACTGATCTCCCACATTCTGGACATTTTATGTTGTGTCTAGTAAATTCACATCGTATTGCTGGGTGTGATTTGGGTGCTTTTTTTGGCCGGGGAGAGGGGTCCCAGTGCATAAAACACATAGCATCATTAAGTATGGGCTATAATTTAAGAAAACTCAGTATGAAAAAACACAAGTGAATAAGGCATAGAAATTGTGCATACTACAGGGAATTTGCTTTCTTTTGATGGTGTATCATAAACAATGGAAAATTTGGGGGGGTGTTCAACCTAGATGTTCATGTTTAGATAGCTGAAGACTGGTAGTGTTGAAAAACATTTTTTTGCTGTTCTTTACTTTATGGCTGCAGAGTCAGTTTCATGGAACCAAGATATCTGCTCCAAGTAGAGCTGTCCAGCAGGGGAGGGTGCTGCCCTATGGGCGAGAGAGCTACCCATCGTGGAAAGTGTTCCCTGGGGCTGGATGGCCATCTCTCAGGGGGTTGTTGAGAGGAGTCCTGGCTGCTGGGAAAGCTAGGTTACAACACCCCAGGTCCTTCCTTCACTGGTCCTGGGACTATGAAGGAGCCAGCAAGCTCCCTTTAACTCGTCATATGGTCCATTGGAAATTTCAAGTCCCTGCAGTGGAAAATGCTTTGCCTAGCTTACAGGCTGCTATTCATTGTGGGTATTATTTGTGTCACCAGATGGCACGAGCTTTTAGGTCTAAATGTGAGGAAGCACCAAAAACACTTTTCGACTAGTGCCTTTGCCACAGAAAAAAAGACAATGTGTAGAAGAAAGTAGATATAAAGGGTTAGGATCAAATATAGTTGTGCTTACAATATTTAAACAAACCACAAAGGGCCAGAAAGGGCTAGATGGTCACTTCTAGCTGCTATGTTGTAGGACTGAATTAATATTTATCCACATATGCTGACGACACTGAGTATATTTTCACCATTTTTGTATTCAGTGGTGTCATTTCTAGAGCGTTCCCCTGCTCTTTGTTAATCACCACATCACCAGGGCTCTGAAATATTGCAAAGGGGGTGGGGTGGGAATTAGCGTGATATTTTCCACTACGGAGAGAAAAAAGAGGCAGCTGGCTGGCTTATCATGCCTTTTTCACACGTAGCCTGGAAACAAGAAAATAAATGGTCATTGACAAGGTAAGTAACTTTAGCAAGGAATTATTTCCCCAGGTTTAGATTAAATGGGGATTGTCAGCACAAGCTCAGGGGAGCCTCAGAGGTGTCAGACAATTTATTACATACATCTTCTTGGTCCACCACCACCTGTGCCTCCACTCGTGAGCTGGGACTGGGGAGGTGTGTTGGGTGACTTGGTGCTAACCATGCAGATTTCCAGTGGTTCCCGTTGGGAGTCAGATTCACATTCCGTAAGAGGAATGTGAATTCCTGCAGGGCTTCACGAGGGCAGCAAGGCTGGTTCCCAGAAATCTGCAACCAAAGTAATTGGGATTTTACAATGACTGTGAGATTCTGACCTTCCTTGTTCTGTTTCATGCTGGCACCTGGCAGAGTGTGGGAACTACTGCCTCAATAGTAAGTACAGCGAGTCCTCTGAGAAGCTGTGACAGTGCCCTGGGCTCATGCCAAGGCAGGCTGCGGGCACAGTGCAGGCCAACCACCTGCACAGGTAATGAGGGGGACACACCTCCCAGGGTGGTGGGCATCCTCCCTCCAAAATCGCCGACCCTGGGAACACACTTGTCCCCCAGCTGGACCTCGGGAAGCCCTGAGCTCCTGAGCTGGGGGGCTTAGCAGGCACCTGGACGGGGCTTCTACACACCCCTTTGAGGGTCCAGGTGCAGAGCGAGCCCTGACCATTTCAAGGAGTCCAGGGGAATGAGGACTATTGGCCACAGACCCAACAGCGGGGACAGGCCCTGCCTGAGGCTCAGCCTAACCCAGCAGGGGCGCCGGAGTGATGTTTAGCTCTGGGTGGGATAGTCTCTCCTCCTGTCTCAGCACTAGCAGCCTGCAGTCCGGGGCCTACCAGCCCAGCTAAGAGCTCTCCTGCCCTCCTGCATTTCCGCACTTTTACTTCTCATCCCCCCTTCTGGCCCTCTCCTTTCTATTTCTGCTCCTCTGGGTGTCTCTCCCAGCCTCACCTTTCCCATCCCCCTCTCCTTCCCCTGCCCGGGGCTGCCATCCATTTTTACACCTTCTCCACGGTTTTCTTTTCTCCTCTTCTGGCGTCTACTTTCCCCTTCTTCTTCCCTCTTCCCACCATCTTTCTGCTCGTGCCATTTTGCATCTTTTTCCTTTCTCTCGACTCCCTTTTCTTCCTTCTTCCTCCTACTCGCTTTAAGCAGAGGAAGACAGGCCTGTGGTACAGCCCAGAATTTAAGATGCAAGAGCTGTTCACTTCAGTCTCTAAAGGCCCTCCGGTCAGCAGGCCCTTGTCTTGGGCTGTGCTGCCTCAGGACAGTGAAGCAATTTCTTAGTTACCTCAGAAACTGTCTTTAACATTTTTTACTTCTGTTCTGCATTTCTTGTTTTCTTTCTTTCTCCCTTCCTCCTTTCCTTCCTTCATTTTTTTATGAAGAGAATGCGAGCATGCTGTGGGTGACCTGCTAACATAGGAACCTATATTTGGGGGCCCAATGTCATTGGGTTTTGTGTTTTGCTTTCCTTCCTTCCTTCCTTCCTTCCCTCCTTCTTTCTTTCTTTTAATGTTTAGAAGTGGAGTTTAAACCCTCCTGTCGTTTGTAGTGTCAATAATTATACGTTTTTCTCCCCTGGGTATAGAGTCCTTAGTTCAGTGTCTTTGTACCAACAGCATATTTTTGTGAAGCTAGAGCTCGTTTTATAAGCTGGCTTATTCTCTCTCGTTTTGCACATTTCTTTAAACATGAGATTCACTCTACCTTAATTTATTTAAACTGCCATTTGTGTCTTTCTAAAGAGAAAAGAGATATTGCTATAATCTCTTTAGAAGAAATCCCCTAAATTATCCCTAATTTGTGACACCAAACACAACTCCTTAGCCTATTCTTTTACTGACTGTATGGAAGAAGGAGATTCCTCAAGAAAACAAAGATGAGAAGTTGGGAGGAAGGAAACACACCTCTAAAACATTGAAAAGTAAAAAGTGGGCTCAGGGCCAGAACTAGGGAGAGTCGGTCTGGCTCATGGTCTATTGTTTTCTTAGCTGTATGATCTTGGGCAAATCCTTGATGATTTTATGCCTCAATTTCCTAGTCTATAAAAATGGGGGGTTTCCCTGGTGGCACAGTGGTTGAGAGTCCGTCTGCCGATGCAGGGGACACGGGTTCGTGCCCTGGTCCGGGAAGATCCCACATGCCGCGGAGCGGCTGGGCCCGTGAGCCATGGCCGCTGAGCCTGCACATCCGGAGCCTGTGCTCCGCAACAGGAGAGGCCACAGCAGTGAGAGGCCCGCGTACCGCAAAAAATAATAATAATAAAATAAAAATGGGAACAATCAAACCCTCCCATTCACCCCGCACTCCCTGCTCCTTCCTGTGATTGTGGTGAAAATCTTGTGAAATACAACACCGGAAGGTGATTTGCAAACAATTGTCAAAGCCTCATCCCCTCTGCTTCACCAGTGTCTGAGGTCAGGGCTGAAAGGGCTCTGGACCAGATTGGCTTCAGCTAGAGAAATCCTGGTGGGTTTTGTTGGGGGGATTGTTTTCTCTGCCTCCCTTGGAGAACAGGGTTATCCCCAGCTGCTCCTCGCATGGCCCAAGACCTGCCCTTTGGCTTCCAAGAATAATTGGGCACAGTTCAAGTTTTGGCATATTGCAAGGCCTTCTCGGCAGTGCTGAGACCGATAGGAGTGACGGCCAGCCCCAGAGAGGGGACAGCAGGGAGATGCCAATTACAGGCCATCAGTCCGGGCAGTCCCAAACCAGGCCAAGTGCCTGTGCAGCCAAGAGGAAGGGGCCGCCAAGTTGATAAATGTCCTACTTCCAGGAACTGGCTTTCTTTGTATTTTCCTGCCACGTGGTGGAGCGTAGGGGTCAGGAGAGCCATGTAGCATGTAACCTCCATTTTCTGTTCTGTCTCAGCCATCACAGAAGCCATTGAGATCCCTCAGTTTATCGGCCGCAGTTACCTGACATATGACCATCCGGATATCCTCAAGAGGTAAGAAGCTTCCACAGGCACCTTCCTTATCTCCTGGTAGGTCAATTTCTCAATATCTTTCCCAGAGCTTTTCCTTATCTTCCGTGCCAGAAGATAGTTCTCCAAAAAGGCACGAGAATTTAGCCATAGTCCCAGAGGGGAAAAAACATACAAAATAAACATAGAAACTAGAACAAAACACAAAAAACAAACTCAAAAATGCAACCTTTGAAACAAGCCCATGACAAACAACCCAAAGCCTTTCTGGTCCAAGGGACGTTCCCAGAGAAAGGGACGTGCCCAGCCCCGGGATTTCTAATATTCAGGCTTTGAGAGGCAGTGAGAACTTGATGCTCCCGAAGCCAAGGTTATATGAGTCCGATTCCCCAGCAGGGCAGTCAGCGTCATGCTGCTCTGTGGCCATGGTCTGAAGAAGCCAGCCGAGGAAGGGTTCTGGGGCACCCTCCACCAGACAACAGCGCTTTCAGTTTACCCTTTTCTCTTTCTTTTCCTTCCCCCCTAGCTCTTTGTAGTTTAGAGTGTGCCATCCCTCACCCTACCACCAGCACAATCATTCTAGAATGTTTCCATCCTCTTCAGGTTGATCACATCTTCACAGACTAAGGCAATGCTTTAAGCCAAAGGCATCCAGTTCTTAGGGTGGAATTTGGTGGCTTTTCGAGGAACAAAAGAGGTTGAGAGACATTTTCCTAGGGCATTGGATGTCCCTGGTGACTCTGAACACACACCAGACAGACAGGGCTTTGTTTCTCTAATCCCATGTTATGTTTATCAAGGTTGTCTTTCATGGGCCTTAGGCAAAATGGATTCCCAGCCGAGAAACCCTCTTCTTTCTTAAGCCCTTTTTCCCCAGAGATGGAAGGGTGTTCAGTCCCCAGAAACTGGGAGGGTGTGAACAGGGCCCAAGTTTCTAGCCCCCTGGTGCTTAGTGAGAGGCCCTGGGTGGTTGGGAGCAGAGGGGTTTGGTGAAAGTAGGAGGTGCAGTGCCGCAAAGCAGAAAGCCCAGCGGCACCTGTGCGCATATATGTAGGTGCATGTACGTATGCATGTGTGTGAAGCTGCAGGTAAAAGTCAAGTTCAGGGTCTGTTTCAGTTAGATGCCTTTGGCTGCAAGTAACAGGAAACTCAGCTCAACATGTCTTAAACATGGAGGGTATTTATTATTTCACATAACAAGCTGTCCAGACTTAGACTGGATCCTGAGTTGATTAATTCAGATAATCAATGGTATTATTCAAAGACCCATTTTCCTGCCTTGTTATCCTCAGCGTATTTTCCAATGGTTATACCCTTTGTGGTTATAAGATAGTTGTTCATAAATACTCATTAAATGGCTATAAATCATGGCAATATCCCATGCAAGTAAAAAAAACTTTTTTTTTTCATGTGACTCTATTAAAAAGGAAAGGAGTCTTTTCTAGAATCCTCCTGATAAATTTCCTCTGTCTCATTGGACAACAGTGGGTCACATGCCCACCCCTAAACCAGCCACTGCAAGAGAAATGGAACCATCGTGATTGGCTTGTACCAATCAATGTATCCAAGGCAAGTGAGGGAAAGAAGGAAACTTGGACAAAAGACTGGGAAAGCAGCTTTCTAGGGAACAGGCCGGGGCTGGATTGCTCTGCACCTGGCCTGGTGAAGCAGTCAGTGTCATGGACCCTGCTCCTCGCCCACTGCTCTGAGACCCTGCCTGGGGAGGGCAAACTTGATCTCCTGCTGTCTGGCTCAGGCTCTGGGAAGCCTTAGACAAAAGTCCCCTCCACTGTTCACTACTGAATGCACTCTGCAGCTCCAGGCCATGCTCGTGAGGCAGAGGGATGGTGCACGTGACAGGAAAATGGATAAAGAGCTTTTTCCAGTAGTGCCATCTTAGGAGCAATACTAAATTATGTTTACTCTCATCTCACCTTTTATTTAAGGACCTCCTGGTTGCTTTTCTTCCTATTGCAGATGAAACACTGGTCACTTTCTAGGCAAACTGGATCTGTGAACTAGTCTCTTCCCAAGAATTGTTAAGAACATCCCAGAACTGATAGGGACACAGAATCACGTGAGCCTATTCCCAGCCAAAGCTGTAGGGCCGGGACCTGACCTTCCTGACCACCCCTTCCTTCCTCTCATCTTCCTGTTCCTCTCCACCCTGCTTTTGCCCCAACACCCCACGAGACCATTATCCCATCAAGGCACCTTCCTTGTCTGACACTCTGCCCCTTGTCCAGTCATTCCTCCTCTGCCCTCAAGGATGTCACCTCCAGAGATAGCCATCCACAGCCACGATCATAGCCCAGAGCAGCTGCCAACTTGAACCTCTTGGTAATTAAGGAAACCACTTCCTTTTGAGGAATAGGGGACACTTTCCCAAGGACCCGTGAGTGGTAGGACAGGAAAGAGGGAAGACTTGAGGTGTGTATTGGGGGTGCAGGCTGGGACCGTGGCATTGGCCACAGTCTGGCTGATCTGTGACTCATCAAATGCTCTCTTGTGGCGTTTGACCACACCTGGGGAGAGAGACAGACTCCAAAGTGCAGAATGAGGAGGTCAGACCTTTAGACCCATGGCATGAGCTGTGGTGGTGATGCCTTTTCTAATCTCCTGGTAGTAAGAGTCAGAAATGTCAGATTATCCTCATAATTGGCAGAGGAATCTGGGATTCCTCAGAAATGAATGTTGGTGGAGACTGGTTGATCTGATGTAATTATTTGTGTGTTTCCTCCAGGGTGTCAGGATCCAGATCAAATGCATTCATGAGGTTTAAGACAACTGCCAAAGACGGCCTGTTGATGTGGAGGGGAGACAGCCCCATGAGACCCAACAGTGACTTCATTTCCTTGGGCCTTCGGGATGGAGCCCTGGTGTTCAGGTAACCCCTACTCCAGGTGCTTTCTACATCACCTCGCGATTTTTCTCAGACGGTACAGATCACGCCAAACAGAGGGTTGCAGAGGGAGCCAGAGCACAGTCTGCTAGAATTAGCAGCTGCCTGCAGCTCCGAGTTAGTTTGAGGCTCCTGGTCCTTCTTTCCAATATCCATCGCTAGAGCAGCAGTTGGTCAGCTATAGCCTGACGGCCAAATCTGGCACGCCACCCATTTTTGTAATGAAGTTTTATCAGAATACTGCCACCCTCATTCATTTATGTATTGTCAGTGACTGCTTTCATGAGACAGTGATACGCTTGAGTAGTTTCAATAGGGACTGTATGGCAAAGCCTGAAATATTTATTATCTGGCCCTCTAGAGGAAAATTTTGTGACTCCTGTTCTAGTATGTTACTGCCATATACTCCCCACTTACAAATTAGGAAGTAGTCGAAAGAGGACTTTGATCCTGCCAAGCATGGACTCGGGTATTTGGCCCAGTGCTCTCCAGCTCAGGAAGATCTGAAGATTTAGTCTAGAGAACTTTCTTTATATTCTGACTCTGCTCCCTATTCACTCTGGAGCCTTGGGAAGGAGAATGCCTGCTTTGTCCAATCTCCCACTGCAAAGAACAAAGCACAGATTCATATCTCAATAGGGCAACCCAACATTTGGATTTTTAAAAGTGCTTCTTGGGTGATAACGGATAAGCCAGTTCCAGAAGTTCTAACATCTTTTACGTCGGTTTAGACTGCTCTCAAATTTGTCAAATGGGTTCCTATGAAGTAGCTAAAGGATTACCTGGATGACTTCTCACCACCAGAAGCTGGGTGGCAGCTGGGTGCTAGCGGGATTCCCAAGGGGCAGGCGCCAGCTGTGTACTGTGGAAAAGCTTCTCTACAGATTGTGATAGCACAGCCTCACTTGAGGTTAGAAATCTCTTGTTTAGACCAGTGATCCTCAAATTGTGGTCTCCGGACCCACAGCATCAGCATCTCCTGGGAACTTATTAAAAATACAAATTTTCAGGCTCCACCCCGACCTACTGAACCAGAAAAATTCTGGAGATGGGACCCAGCAATCTGTTAACTGTTTCTCCACGTGATTCTGAAGCCTGCTAAGGTTTGAAACCCCTACTCACCATCTGTTCCATGGGGACAGGAATTTCTCTGGCTTTTCCTTCTTTAATCCCCCCTCTGGTGACTAGCACGAGTGTTCATTAAATGATATGGAATTAATTGGAATTGAAATAGACGAAAGTGAGAGCGGAACTGCAGAGAAGATGAAGGCTTAATTGTGAGGCTTCAGTGGGTCATGCGCTGGGATTGCTGACAGCCAGGGTAGAATGCTATGTCTTTGCAATTCGAATAAAAGGCATTTCGAAAGGAAATGTCACTTGTCCAACAGCACGCTTGGCCCTACCCAGCAGAGCGTGCTCAGCGATGTAACCCTATGGTTGTTGAGGACTTTGGGGTACCGCGTGTGGTTGAAAGCTGGAGAGAGCAGTTCTCACCACCTCCGTCCCCTCCCCCGGGCCCTGAGGTCAAATGCTGAGCTCTTCACACCCCAGTTTCAGGCTGGCTGCCGCAAAGCCATTTTCTTGTGGTTTTCCTGTGGTTAACCTCGCCAAGGCCTCAAGTACTTGATTGTGCCCAGAAAAGGGAACTGAAACAGTAGCTCAGCCGTGGGTGGGAGGCCCAACTTCCCCCTAAACCGCCAGTGAAAACCCAGCTGGACAGGGAAGCTCAATCTGCTCGGGGCCCCTCACAGCCCCCGCTGGCTCTCACACCCGGCCCTGGGCAGACCCCCAGGCCCCCGGGCACCCTTCTTACAACTCCACGCCATCCCGATGTATTTCTTTTCTTACCATCTCTTTCTCAGGTTTCTGGAAATAGGCCCCGTGTTTTCCTCTTAAGCCTGGAGTTCTGGCTGTGCTCTGCGTAAAGGGCACAGCACTCAGTCTCCACTGGAGGCAGGCAGACATCTGAACTCTTCCCTGGGCCCCAGGCCCAGCGCGGCTGCTTTGCTGCATTTCCTGCCTCTGGGCAGCCACTCCCCCCAACATTACTCACCCAACACAGAAGTATGGAAGCCCTGCGGGAGGCTGGGCACAGAGAGGAATCAGAGTGTGGCCACTGGTTTGAAACTGTCAGCATACAGAGAGTCATCTGCGGGGCTCGTGTTAGAGGTTACTGGATTCCTGGGCCCACACCCAGAGATGCTGGTGGAGGAAGTCCCGCTGTGCGCCAGAATCTCATTGGAAGCCATCAGGAACCACCACACCCTGAGAAACAGGGTCTGAAGTGGTCACAAGCATGGGCTTCAGAGTCAGACGTGCCGGATTCCCACGGCCACGTGATCTCCTGCAAGTTACCGACATCCGTAAAAGGAAACGGTTAGTCATGAGGACTGAATGAGTTAATTCATAGAAAGGCCTTAGTGCAGGGCCTGGCATATCTAGTTATTAGTGATAATGATTATCCTTGATCGGGTGTTTTCTATGTTCTAAAAACTCCGATCGCTAACATATGTCAGGAAGTTGGCACGATATATCTACGAAATAAAATTTAGCTATTATTATTGTTATGGTTGTTATTATTCTGAATAAGGCCCTGCCCTCAAGCAGCTTACGTCAGTGGAACCTAGAGAATGAACTGGTTGATTGGGTAGATGAACCATTTTTGAGGTTTTGGTGTTTGATCCAGGTCCAAAGCAAACAGTAGGAAACCTAAGATAATACAATATAATCTCAGCTTTCTTCACCTAAATGCTTGTCCTTTTGCTAATTTGGAGCTCAGAGCACTTCAACCAGAGAATAAGGAAAAACAGTGGAATTCTAAAAAAAAAAATTATGTATGGTTTTGGTGCAAGGTGAAGTAAAAGAAAGGGAATCAGCGTGCTCAGTGATGAGTGTCGTTTTTGCTGTTTGTTTCGTTTCATTTTGTTTTATGATTATGTTTAGGGCATGAAGCCAGGTGTGTGAATATCACTTTACGGGCGATCTTTCCCACTAATTTTCCATGTGACCTTGATAACATTTTCATGCAGCAGAGAAAGGAAAGCAGTCTGACATTAGCAGAGTACCCTGTGCTATACTTTAAAGGAGGCCTAAGTATAAGTGCCACCATAAGGACCCCACCTGATGGCATTTCCTGGTAGCCCACCTTGGCGCTCAGCCTCCTAGCCTTCCATGAGCACCAAATTGAGTAGGTACTCTTGGATCAGGTTAACCGATTCACTCTAACCGGATACACAGGACGTTGATAGAGAAACCAGGTGTGCATTTATTGGTTCATTTATTCGTTCATTCACGTGTTTTTACCTTTTTTAAAAAATTGAGGTATAACTAAGTGAAGTGAGTCAGAGAAAGACAAATATTATACGATCTCACTCGTATGTGGAATCTAAAAAAAACGTGATGCAAATGAACTTACCTACAAAACAGAAGCACACTCACAGACATAGAAAACAAACTTATGGTTACCGAAGGGGAAGGGGGTTGGGAGGGATAAATTAGGAGTTTGGGATTAACAGATACACAGTTCTATATATAAAATGAACAACAAGGTCCTACTGTACAGCACAGGGAACTACATTCAATATCCTGTAATAGCCTATAATGGAAAAGAATCTGGAAAAGATTCTGGAAAAGACTGGTATATACTTCACTGTACACCAGAAACTAATGCAACGCTGTAATTCAGCTATACTTCAGTTTTTAAAAATTGAGGTATAATTTACATAAAGTGCAAAATACTAGGCGTACAGCTCAGTACATTTTTAAACATGTAAACACCTGTGTAACCACCACCCAGAACAAGGTATAGAACATTCCCCCACCCACACCCAGGAAGGCTCCCTCATGCCCTGTCCCAACGAAGGCAACCACTAATCTTGGTCATTTATTATTTAAAAGAAAGAGAAGTTCCAGGGTGATGTATCAGGTGTCTGGGGGAGCAGGAGTTTATTCGGAGGGTCTGAAATCAGAGAAAGTCGGTGGGGGGGGGGGTTGGAGAGTCAGGCCAGAGATGTGCCAACTGGGCCACACCACCACCTGCAGTGATGGCTGGATTCCTGTCTGCTGAGTTCAGCGTTTGCTCCCTTGAATGCAGTCTGGCTCATTGCATGAACAGGCGTGTTATCAGGCTGGAGAACAGAAGAAGAAGGCCCGGCCTTCGTCCGAACACAACTGAAAAGGTTTCCATTCACTTGATTACAATCACATTCCAGTCTAGTGCCACTGCAGCTATACCCAAGTCACCTTGATTCTGACACCTGGGTGTTTCTGGACGTTCTGGTTACATATTTACAGCCTGTTGGTTTACTCTCACACATGACTACTCTTCCAGGAGAGGCTTGATAAGTTTATCTCTTGGCGGCAACTTTCTCCTATTGCTAGCTCCCCCAGGTTGTATTGTTTGATGCTATATCCAAGCTGCATTAAGTACTGCGTATATTTGGGGCAGTGGGATTATTTGTTTGGCTCCTACTCTGTGCTGTGCTCTTTACATATGTTATCTTACTGAATCTTCCCTAAGACCCTTCAGGGAAGGTATTATTACCCCATTTCACAGATTCGAAAATTTAGGCTCAGAGAAACGAAGCAAATTGCCCAAGATCACAGAACTAGTAATTGGCGAGGCTGGGAATTGAGGCAGATTCATCTAATCCAAGTGTCTAGGCTCCTTCTATCACCCCGTTCTGCCTCTCATAAAAGCCCACATAGTAATTCAGCTGCATTTCTGCCAACCAGCTCTCAGCCCTTCCTTATACTCATTCATTTCTTCAACAAGCATTTGGCCACTAAATAATGAAATCTGAAAATTCCACCTCCAGGCTGCTTCGTACAAGGAGACACTTGATGTGGGAAAATTCATTAGAAAACAGTGGAGTTTTCTGGGTCAGAGCAACAGCTTTGTCTCAGAGTTTGTCAAGTCACCCGAGTTCTATTCTTGGTTAAATGTCGATGGGCTGTGTGACTTCTTTGAGGCTCCAGTATTAAAGAAAGGACCCATAGTGCTTCCCTGGGGAAAGCCAAAGCTTTCTATTTTTGCTCCTTTCTTATACTGAGTGCATGCAAGAGCTCAGTGACTAATGCGGGTTTCCTCTCAATATTCCTGTTTCTTGGCCAACGAGCTAAAGGAGAGACATGTCCCCTTACAAGATGAGGAGAGGGTTGTCTAGGTGGAATACATTTTCCTTCAAAAGCATGATTACATAGGCTTTATTATTTTATCAAGGGGAGGTCTAGAGAGCTGGCCCAGTGCCCGGCCTAGAATCGTCACTCACCAAATATTTGTTGTATTGAATTAAATTAGAATAATTGAATGAACACTGAAATAAGAGGGTTATTTCTCTCTGGTAAACAACATATGCATGTCTTCTGATCCCCTTAGCATATCACAGTATCTGGCAACCGAAATAGGAAATAGAAAGCTACCGAGTAAAATGTGGCAGGGTCGGGGGCAGGGAAGACACCAAGTTCAAGTCCTGTACGTTAGCTCTGAGATTTTAGGCAACTTCCCGTAAATTCTTTGGGGCTCAGCTTGCTCTGCAATGTTTCGCTCTGTTTTGTCTTTTGAAAAGTAAAAACACATGTATTAGTTTCTGAGGACTGCCATAATAACTCACCACAAATTGGGTGACTTAAAGCAATAGAAATGTATTCTCGCACAGTTCTGGAGGCTAGAATTTCAACCTGGAGCTGTTGGCAGGGTGTCTTCTTCCTGGGAGCTCTGAGGGAGTCTGTTCTATGACTCTCCCCTGGCTTCTGATGGTTGCTGGCAATCCTTGGTGTTCCTTGGCTTAGAGATGCAACGTTCCAGTCCCATCTTCATGTGGCGTTCTTCTCCGTATGTCTTTGTCTCTGTGTCAAAATCTCCACTTTTTATAAGGACACCGGTCATATTGGATTTAGGGCCTCCCTAACCCCATATAACCCCCGTATAACCCCTCTTAACTAATTACATATGCAAAGACCTTGTTTCCAAATAAGGTCACATTTTGAGATTCTGGGCGGACATTAATTTTGGGGGGATACTATTCAACCTAGTATTGATACAGCACATTACAAACGATAAAGCCCTTTTGTTCCTTATACTCTAATACTGTACATAGAGCCTAAAATAAATCAACCTTGAGGACATGATATTAAGTGAAAAAAGCCAGTTACAAAGAGACAAACACTGTATGACCCTACTCATACAAGGTACGTAGGGCAGTCAAACTCATAGAAACAGAAAGAATGGTTGTTGCCGAGGGCTGGGGGAGGGCGAGATGGCAAGTTGTTTAATGGGTAGAGGGTTTCAGTTTTACAAGATGAAAAAGTTCTGGAATTGGTTGCATAGCAATGTGAATATACTTAACACTGAACTGTACACTTAAAAATGGTTAAGACTGTAAACTTTACCACAGTTAAAAATAAAAAACCAGTTTTGGTCACTCATGGCCTAATCTGGGGACCTAGTGTCTTTATAACATTGTTTTGTTTTGTGTTAAAGAAACTACATCCTGAGCTCCAAAGAACTTTCGCAGTGAGAATCATTTGTGAACGACCATCGGTGTGTACATCAATGTTTTATTCTGTTCTCTGTCTTGTTCTTCTCCGACACCTTTAGCTATAACCTGGGCAGTGGTGTAGCATCCATCATGGTGAACGGTTCATTCAATGACGGTCGGTGGCACCGAGTCAAGGCTGTTCGGTGAGTACCTGCCACAGTGTGAGACAGAGCTGACGGGATGTACTCTCCAATTCCCTTTAGTCCCATTTCCTGTTCCCCATCCTGGCCTGGCATCCAAGTATCCTTGATCCGGGTCATTAGGTCATCTCGGTACCAACTCCCACCTGTGCCCTTTACTAACACTAGCGGGCCAGAGAGGCTGAACTCCCGAATCTTCACTCAGCAGAGATCTTCTAGAGAAAGAACTTCGATGGCTAAACTTGAAGAAGCCCTCACCTTCCACGGAGATCTAGATATCTCTAGTGAGATAAGATTTTAGGGCAGGTGGACTTTGAGGAGATTCCAGAATGCTGGAAGCCAGGTCTATACCCCATAGTAAGAAGAATAGGAAATCCAGGTATTCCCCCAAGGAAATGACTGAGCCAGGTCACAGCACAGTCAACAAAAGCCATCCAGCACACAGGGCTTCCAGTCTGCTTCCTGGTGCTCAACACTTATCTGTGTGGCAGTTGGGGATCACTAGGCATTTGAAAAAAGTTTCCAGTATGAAAGATGGATATCAGAACAAATAGATATAACGAAGCAACTTGGAGGAAACAGAGACTATGAATGAAAAAAATGATGAAAACATGAATATCATCAGTGAGGTAGGAGAGGCTATTAACCCAAGAAACAAGAAGTGACTGCTATAAAAAAGGAACATTAAAAGACCAATAAAGAACTCGTCAAAAAAAGAGGAAGAAAAGAGGGAGAAGGAGAAGAAGTGTGGCTGGTTTTTGGAAACCACCTTAAAAAACTGCAAAGCCCTTGCCACAGATGAGCACCTCCATTCCACTGTCCTCAGAGTCACTTTTGGGTGACTCTCTGGGTCCTTTAGAAACCTCAAAGCCATTCTTCGTCCTCCCTGAGAGTAATCTTCTACAAACAAAGACTACTGCATTGGCTTCCCATTGTGTTTAGAATCACATCCACACTCACCATGTGTCACCATGTCACCACCACTCCTCCTGTTAAAGTTCTTCTCTGGTTCCCTCTCACCTTCAGGATAAATTCTAACTAAGCTCCTTATGCCCTTCACCATCTGCTTCTGGCTTCATCTTTTACTACTCTATTCCCACCTCTAGAATTCTCTATGCTCAGTCTGTACCAACCCCTATGTCTTTTCTCTCACTGCCGTTGTCACTTCCTGTCTGCATTAGCCTTCTCCTTCACCTGACCCACCCAGCCTTCAAAACGCACCTCAGAGTCTTTCTTCAGAAGCTTTCCCTGGGCTTCTGTTCTCTTCCCGTAGAATTCCACAGCTCCCGGCAGCCATTCTTCTACCATAGAGCGGTGACACTGTGTGATCACCAGCAATTTGATTTTTTGTTTGTCTTAGGAATGTCGGTGGTTTTTTGTTTGTTTGTTCTTGTTTGTTTCATTTTGGCAGCTCCATAATTTAGTATAGTGCCTGGTGCTTAGTAAGGACTTCAGTAATACATTTGTATTAAAATGAATGCATGATTGAATTATTGAATGAAGCTCCAAAAATGGTGGCGGTTTTTACAGGGATGGCCAATCAGGAAAGATAACTGTGGATGACTATGGGGCCAGAACAGGCAAGTCACCTGGCATGATGAGGCAGCTCAACATCAATGGAGCTCTGTATGTGGGTAAGTGACCTTGACCTTTGACGAAACCTAAATTAGGCCAGTGCGTTTTCTTTTTAGCCTTCCGTTTGTCATGCTGGGGCTTCCCAAAGCTGTGTACCTCACTGGGTCGGTCAGATACTTGGAAATCAGGAAGCTCTCCAGATATTCCATTCTTCCATGTTTTGAACTTCTGACTCATGGCTGAGGGGTCAGGAAGCACTTAGATGATTTTGTGCTGTGGACCGATCCACCAGGAAAACCCTGCTTTTCTTGTTTATAGAACAGGAGCCTGCTAAATATAGCTCCTTGAATTCTCCCTGAGGAAGGAGGATCTGTCTTCCCGGCCCCCTCAGAGTTAGAATGAGTGGTATTTTTGTACATAGCTTAGAACCCACTAATGCTGACACATCAACATGAAAAGATACCTCTATCTGTATGATATTTCCTACAAGTGAACAATCAAAAGCATTCAACATCAGTGTATTTCTCTTGGTTTAAGATAACATCACCTCTTACCACACATACTACATTTTGTTGACATTATACAACATTTCAAAATTTACCAGGTACTATTTGGTTTTAAGTGGTCAAGTAGGTCAGAAATCACTTATGAGGTGGATACTTCTAGGCTCTGATTGTGTATCAAATTGATCCAAGTCAGCTTGTTCCTTCAAGGATAATTATAAATTAGACAGCTGCGATGTCCTGAGTTCTAGGTACCGCAGCCTCACCTATCCTGTCGGCTGAGGGAAGCCTTGGTCAGCAGACACTCAGGCATACTGAAGAGACATCCTTCCCTTTGACTCACGTCATCTTCCTTTGGCCTCCTGGCAGGTGGAATGGAAGAAATTGCTCTGCACGCTAACAGGCTGTACACGCGGGGCCTCGTGGGCTGCATTTCTCATTTCACCCTGTCCACCGATTACCACATTTCCCTCGTGGAAGACGCCGTGGATGGGAAAAACATCAACACTTGTGGAGCCCAGTAACACCAGTTGGCTCTGCCCAAGGGACAGAACCTTCTATCCTGAGAAACCCGGGGGCTCCAAGACCTTGCCTGACACCACACACAGAGGCACGGGGACCAGGTGTGTTTCCTTTCATCAAGGAGCAAGTACACCCTGATGGGAAACTAGGACCAAGACAGGAGTCCCTGGGTGGCCTTTCCTGCTGACATTCTGTGGGCCAAACCCAACGGAATGCTCTGTGTAGGAAGCATCGGACTTCGTCCGTTGAATGTGTAGTGGCCGCCAGAGATCACACATCACAGCGAATTTCCGAGGCTGTCTGCTGTAGCTCAATGACTGTGTTGTGATTCATAGTTTGTAAGAAAAAAAAAAAAGAAAGAAAGGAAAAAAAAAGAGAGAGAGACCCAAAGGGCAGTATTAAAATACTTCTCTCCTCCCCTGACTCTTGACACTCTTACTGATAGCAGAATGACCGTAAGACCTTGAACCTCAAATTTCTCTACTTTGGCCCACAAATTACTAGGATTAACCCCTTCCCCTCCTCACTGGCTGGTTCAATGTGCTCTGACTATGAAAATAAGGATTAAGGGAGACTAGAGATAGAATCATAATTATAAAGCTGCCCCCTGGAAGTTTACCTTTAATGAGAAATCCTTACTTTTTATAATGCAAATCTAAGAAAATGGGCACCATGACTTCGTAGCTGTCCTTTTGTATGTGTATATTTTTTATAGCTACAGATTGTCCACACAGTATACTTTTGCAAGTTTGGGTGGACAACCCTGAATTCTTTGCACACTTCCTAAGAATTTTCTCTCAAAGGAGACTTGTCTGGGCCCTTTGTGGCATTAGCAGAGTGGGGTAGGTAACTTGGGGTGGGCACTTCGGGGAGCTGACTGTTCTCTCTCGGTAACTGATGACTCAAGGAGGTGACTGTGAAGCTTCCAGAAGAAGCAGATGGAAAGGCACATGTATTACTGAGGTGGGTCACTGTCATTCTGGTCTGAAGTGGGGGGGTGTCTGTAGTGAACTTGAATAAAGAAGATGAACAAGGCTACAGCACATTCATTTAGTCATTCGTTCACCTGTGGAGGGGTTACGGATCCCTCCCGAGGCGGTGTCTAGAAATGGACACGAATACAGTCAGTGCTTCTCAGGCTGGGCTGGGGGTGCCCTCAGCCTGGTCTGAGCATCTGGGCAAGAACCAGAGAAGCGGGGCTGCTTCCTTCTGAGCCATCACAGTGCCACGTGGTGACCCCGGAAACAGCTGGCTCACTGGCAGATCCCCATGGCAGGACTTGCTAAGGGCAGGTGAGATGAATGCTACCACCAAAGAGGTGGGAAATGTGATCCACCTCACACAAGCGCCTATAATTAGTCCCATCGTTACTCTGCTCTTGCTTGCGTAGCAGGCGGTCGGTGAAGGCTTCGAGCTTTGTGCCAAGCACAGTTTTAGGCACATTAAGGGTTCTAAAAAAATGAATAAACTAGAGACGTTCACCTTGAGCGTCACCCTTCCGCCTCCTGTCTTTAGGAACCTTCGATGACCAGGATCCTTCCTCTCAGAGCAATAATGCTCACAACAACAGCGATCTCTCCTCTCCTGCGTACATCACCTGTGAGTGCGGAGTGGAGAAAGCCACGTGGTAGAGAGTGGGTGTCACCCCCAGGTGACCTCCCCGTCACCCTCACCTCAACACCGTTTCCTTGGAGACATCCGGGGTCAGTGCTTCCCAAGATATAATGGAGTTGCTTTCACAACTCCAATTGATTCACATTTTGAATCGATAAAAAAGTCACGGTGATTTTGGAAAAATGTCCAGTTGAGCTGAAGCCAGGAGAGTTGTGCTGCGGATGGGCTGTTGTGCCCTGCAAGTGTCATCCTGAGAAAAAGCACGGTAGCCCGGGGCTGGGGGCTCGGGAGTGATGGACAGGATGAATTGCCTTTCCCTAGGTGGGCTAGAAAAAGAGAGGTGACACGTGACGAAATCAGAGCCGTAGAGAGGCTGCGGGTGAGAAGGCAGCAGAATAGGGGGACCCAAGAGGAGCTGATCACGTGGGAGGGCTCAGCGTGGGAGAACAGGGTAAGAGACAGTATATCCCAAGCTCTTTCACCCTCTCAGTGGCCAAAATTCGGGAAACATGGGATGAGTTTACAGCAGAGGTGGTTGGGGGAATATAAACTTTGTCCTGAAGCTGAGGGATTAGACCCGGGTTCAGATGGGCAGGACAGCCGAGGAGAACTCAGCCTGGTTTTGTGGGTCCCCCGGTTTCCTCTCTAAGTGTATCTGCTATCTATCGCCACAATAATGCTGCACGACAAACAACCACAGAACCTCAGCGGCATATCGCAAGGTGTGCTGACTGCTTCCATGCCTCGAGGGGTCAGCTTGGCATTTCTGCTGATCCTGGCTGGGCTTGACTAGGCGGTCCTTCTGGTCTCAGTGGGTCTCGTTCACACGTGTAGGGTGGCCCGCTTGTCGTCGCCTTGGCTGGGATGGGGAGGTGACTTGGGTCTGCTCCACCCTCCTGCTGGACCCGTGAGCTAGGCTGACGCGCCCTTCACACGGTGATGGAGGAGGGTGAGAGCACTGGAACTGAGGTCCAAGGCGTTTTACAGCCGGGGATTGGCGCTGCCTCATGTCGCCTTTGCCACATTGTGCTAGTCAAAGTCCGTACACCCAAGAGATGAAGAAATAGACTGTCTCCATTGTGAGAGCAACTACAGAGTCACGCAGCACCGGGCATGGATTCAGGGAGGGTGGAAAATCAGGGCCGTTAGTGCAACCAATCCCCCACCGCAAGTCCTGTGCTGTTGGGGAAATGGTGCAACAGGGATGAGGTGACCCCTGGCAGGAGTTCATCCGTGGGGTCCCTGGGGCTGGGCGGAGGCCTGGGAGGTGGTGGTCACGGGCCCAGCGAGGGGAGCAGCGCCTGCCTTTTCCAGCCCCGCCTGCTGTGCCCCTGCTGTGCCCCCTTCGTCCACCTGCTGCCTGGTACCCGGCAGCCGTGTTGTCATGCTGAGGAGGAGGGCCTGGCAGGGGATGGGATCTGCGCCACGGCTTTTGGGCAGCGGCTCTGTGCAGGGGCATGTCAGGGAAGGCTGGCTGCGCGCTTGGCTGAAGGAAGAACTTTGAGGAGAAGCCAGGGAGCTCGAAGGTTAACGCCATCCCTGTCCCGCCCAGGAAGGATATTATGAAGCCTGGGTTACTGAAAAGCTTTTGTCCCACAATCAGCATCTGAGAAAATTCTCCAGAACTTCCCATGTGTTCTAAGCAAGGACGGCTGGGGTGCTGTCAAGAAGGGGAAGGGGAAGCTGTGACCAAGTGAGAGAGTGGCATGGACATATATACACTACCAAATGTAAAATAGGTAGTGGGAAGCAGCCGGATAGCACAGGGAGATCAGCTCGGTGCTTTGTGACCGCCTGGAGGGGTGGGAGGGAGACGCAAGAGGGAGGGGATATGGGGATATATGTATACGTATAGCTGATTCACTTTGTTATACAGCAGAAACTAACACACCATTGTAAAGCAATTATACTCCAATAAAGATGTTAAAAAAAAAAAAAAAGGGGACTGTTCTTGCTTTTCCTACAAAAACTGACTTGCGCACCGGCATGTGCTTCCTCTAAGCTCGCCTGGGGGCTCTTTCTCAAAAAGGTCTGCGGGGTCATCTTTGTCCCCGTGCTGCCCCAGGGCCCGAGGCGCGGCAGCTTGGTGACCCTGCCGCTCAGGCACCTCTGAGCGGCTGCTGGTCTCCCGCCCTCTTCTTTGCCTTCCATTTCTGGGCCCGGGCCTGTCCAGCCCCCAGGCCCCTCCAACACAAACAGGCCCTCTGCTTTCCACATGCCCACAGCCCGGGCTTCAGAGGAACCGGTGCTTCCCTTCCGGTCCCCTCGCCTCCCTCCCTCCACCGCCCACCTCTTCTCTCCCCCTTGCAAGGAGCCGTCTCCTCCCCGAGTGGGCGGAGGGATCTCGGAAATGTGCCCGGAGCTGGCGGGCCCAGTGCTTTCCACTTGGAGGAAGTGCTGCATTTTTCACCTTTCACCCAGAAAAATAGGATTCTCAGCAAGCTTGTTTTTAGCACAGAGAGCTCCCAAAGGAAAGAGAAGAGCGGGTAGGAGGGGCTCGCAGCCCCTCGCAGAGCTCTGACAGCCGGCCCCCTGCCGCCAAGGCTGCTCTCCCCGGGGAGGGAAGCACCAAGGGGCAGCCTGGGGGCGGGGCTGGCTGAGGGTGAGAATAAAGGCAGAGAATTCCAGCTCCACATGGAAAGACGATTCATCCTTGAGGAGAGGGGCTTGGACGGAGCATTTACTGCTTGCTTCCCCGTCCCTTCCTGGTCTCTTCTAGGAACACCCAGTCGCTGCCCTTGCAGGTGGAGGGGGGGGGGGCGGGTAAGGTGTGTGCCCTGAGACAGCCAGTCCCTTAGCTGAGAAGGGTGTGTGTTTAGCTTGTCAAAGGCAGGAAAGAAGAGCTCTGGGACTACCATCCAGAAGGAGCCCAGAGGGACGAGGGCTGCCAGCACGAAGTCCAAGATGAGAATCCGAAGTAAGGGATTTGTGCTGCTTTCAGCCCAGTCTGCATCGTTACTTGCCAAGATGGAAAAGGGGGGTCATTCAAGTGCATCAGCACTGGGTATTCTACAGCTCGCACTGAACAAACAAGGGAAATATTAGTGGCCCTGCCTCAGCCTCGGGGAGGCCCTGGAGCACGAGGTCTGAAGGCATTTAAGCTGGTGCGTCCTGGTGGAAGTGACAGGCTGTCATTAGGAAGTTCCAGTTTACAGGTGGCTGCATTCAGGCAGCAAAATGACTAATCCAGTTCTACAGCATGGTCTTGCTGCTGAGACAGGCCCTGTGAGTAACTGCACTTCAACCTCATGTTCAAAGAATGTTCACATATTTGATCTCAGCAACAGACCTCCTTTGATGACAGCCAGAGCACATGGGCAAGGCCAGTTTGACTCACAAAGACGAACGCTGGCCAGAAAGACCGAGTGACTTGCTGCTGGTCCTACCACAGGACACAACCACGGTGCTTCACTGTGGAACTTTGCTGCCCCTTACCCAACCTTCAGTCAGATGCAGCGGCCCGTGGCTTGTTCAGGGGCGCTCTGGGGCTCCCTCCGGTTAGCTGTCATTGGCAGGAGAGTCTTGTGGGTGAGGGGCATTTGGGCAGAGGCCAGTCCCCTAGTGTCTGCCTGCTGGGCTCTCATCACAGCTCCAAGTCTGCTTTCTTCCAAAGCTCTCCCATCGCAAGGACTGTGGGTTGAACAAATCTGAAAGCAGAGACCAGAGCCACTCCATCGGAGAGGGATTCAGGGCCCCCGACGGGCAATGAGGTCTGGGCTTGAAGTCTTTTCCTTCTCTCCTCTGGCTTCTCCTCCACAAATGACCTCCAGCACTCAGGGGAGTTGCTGCAAGCTATTTCCAAGCAGTGGTGTGCCCCCCTGGGCCCCTGCCCAGCCCTGGCCAAGCTGAGGGCAGCAGGAGCAGGGCAGGCAGCAGAAACAAACTCCCTGCCTCTCCTCCTGCCCTTGCTAAGACCTCTTTATCCTAGAAAGTGCACGGCTCCCAGGAGCACCCGCCTTT